AGATATGCTCCAGACAAAATCTGGATATTTCACCATCATTAGTGACCTTGACCTTGCATATATTGACCTAAAGTACATGTGTCACAGCCATAGTCACGATAATGACCATTTGTGTTACAATCCCTCAATAAATGATGATTAAATCGTCCCTATACACATCTTCATATTTTTATCTAAACTTTGACCTTTATGTGTGACCTTGACCTTGGCTGCAGGGACCTGAATTTTGTGCGCGACACTCCGCCTCACAATGGTGAACATTTGTGCCACGTTATATTGAAATCCCTCTATACATGTGGAAGTTTTGCTCCGGACAAGCATTTTTCAATGAGCTCTAAGTGTGACCTTGACCTTTGACCTAGAGACCTGGTTCATGTGCGCGACACTGCTCCTCATAGTGGTGAACATTTCTATGAACTTTCATTAAAATCCCTCCATACATGTAGGAGATATGCTCCGGACAAAATTGGACGCCGCCCGCCCGCCTGCCCGCCAGGGGCGTTCCCATAATACGTCCCGTTTTTCAAACGGGCGTATAAAAATAGTTGGTGTTATTTTTCGGGTATTAAACGGGAAAAAGAAACACAGTCAACTGTTAAACGGAAACGGAATCAGCTGTTTCGAAAATGAATAAGTACACACAAAATACGCTTCGATTTTTCATTCTTTGCGTATTTAATTTATAGCATGCGTAAATGAACGCAAGAAATTTGAAATATGGAGCGTATTTAGTTGATTTTGAAGCGTAAAATACGCCGATACGCACGTTACCTGGAACTCTGCTGTTATCTTAAAAATGAGTAAATAACAGAAAAAAATTGCACCTTTTGAATTACGTATTTTGATTGGATTACTTTAAGATTGTTGAATTGGATGTCGGCTAAAAACTTGTGTAGTTTGCGGATGATGTATGTCCTTGCAAAAGTGTTTATACCAGATATTCATGAATTGATGGGAAGTCACAAATCCTGTCTACTATCTGAAAAAAATATGTGCTGATGTTATGTTTCAATGATGCAGAGGGCAGGGATACAGAACATGGTTTCCTGGGGGGGGGGGGGGGGGGGGGGGATGGAAGATTTTGACAAAAATAATGCTACAGGCAAAAATAGCGCTTGTTTGAATATTGGGCCAGCATCTTGTTCATGTGACCATCTCATCTTACGAGTGGCAATGTACTTTGCTTATATATGTGTACACAAATGTTTTTTTAAATGTTTAGATGATATGGAATTAAGAAAATATATGTAATTGGGGTGGGCGCATGGGAGGGATGTCCTCTCCCATAGACTGAGAAATTTTGTGCTTTTACCTTTTGGATGGTTTAACATCACATTGTACTTTGTATAGTAAGTGTTTACAAAATAACAGCACACATACCAATGTATCTGTAACCGTTGATAAAAATAATTTCAAACACTCGATCAATTTGCTCATCTTAATATTAGACGATTTTCCTATAAAATAAAATTAAATTACTGCCTTTCTATTGTACAAAAAAATTAAAAAAAAATTCAAACACTAATATTCAATACAATTTTTTTTTCCATCAATGAATCCTTTTTAGATTATGACCGAAGATAGGGCCTGAATCCGCCACTGTGATGTAATATATCTAAGTGTTTGTCAGCTGTAAATTGTTTTTCATGTTATTTTTTTTGCATCATGTTAAATGTAAATGAATTAAAAAAATTATTACATGTTTTATTTGTTTCTGAATTATTTACTAAAAACATATTTCCTCTTAGAAATGTCTGTAAATTGTCCTTTAATTAAAAAAATATTATTTATATAATACTAAAAATAATTAAAAGCATTATGTTGGTGAGTTATTTTCTTTATAGAAAAAAATTGAATGAGGGGTGAAATGTCTTAGTCTTACTGATTTTGGGGATGATGTGTCTTGAGTGAAGCGTCTTAAAAAATTGAGGGGTGAAGTGTCTTGGGTAGTCCAATATATTAGACGTTACAGGCTTGTTATAGTTTTTGTCGGTCAAGCCTGACGTCTAATAGTTATTGCTCAAAAATGCATAGCATCATAAAAAATTCCAAAAATGTCTGTTGTCTTGCCTTTCAAGCTTTATTCAAAAGCTTATCATATTTTCTTTCAATTTCATGCTCAATCATACACAAAAACTTTCAAACGATGTACTTATCAATTTAAATAAAATATAAACATCAATCTATTTTTGTCTATCAGCCATACTGGTAAAGCAAGGTGCTTTACAGATTGATTCCAAATTTTTGAACGGAAAAATATATTCGAACACACTGACGGTGCATGGGCAATTATTTCGTTAAAAAAATATTCCGTTAGATTGTTCTGACTCAGTTAAACGCTTGCATTTGAATTAGCCAATCAGATTTTGCGCACTTTACGGCCGCCATTTGTTTATCGGCTGTAAAAGGAATTGAAATACATGAGAGGATTTAATCATGATTTTTCGGATGTGACAGTTTAATTATTTTGACAAAAGGTATTTATTTTTTAGTTTTGTTCATAAATAGGTCAAAAATTATGTAAATACATGCCGTCTTCATTGTTTTTCGTTCCGCCCGATTTTCTGGCGGAACATGCTATGGGTTTTTGAGCAATTTCGATATGACGTTGCTTTGCCCAGAAGCAAAAATATCTCAAAGCGACATCATATTTATAGGACTATCCTCCAGTACTTTATTTCGACGCATCTTAATTACGACGCCATTTTTGTTTTGACCTCGATTTCGTTTTGGGGTTTCCGTGTGACGTCATTCCCGCGCTTTTTTGTAAGTTAACATTTCGGTGATTTCTATCAGCGAAAATGTGGAAAGTAGGCGATTTTGACGTAATCTTTTCGTACTTTTTAATAAAAACACTTAAAAATGATGTTTTTTTCTTATTAATAATTTTGTATAATTTTGAAAGTATAGTTTTCTCAAAATTGATAAAATGACAGTTGGACCAGCCGACACCCTAACTCGCCGCTATTTTATGAGATAGTATTATGACATGGTATGTGACCACCAAATATATAATTCACTGTGTAGGAAGGTGTACTCGTTAGCTCATTATTGTGTGACTTTATGGATGCATTTATATTAAAGTTTGTATTCTATTAAGTTCTTTTTTTGTTATGTTGCTTTATTATTAATATTATCTATGTTATTTTTTACAGATCCCTGAAGTCAAGATCAGGAATTATTCACCAACTTCAATGACAACAGCTATTTATTATTTTTAATGCAGAGAGACATAATTACTGCTTGTCAATATGCTGTATTGTATATCTGCTACTGGCATAAATTCAGCATTGCTGAATGGTAGTACTCCTGTGACAGATGGTACTGTTTCAGAGAGTGATTGAAGCATATGATTTAAGCTCTATCTCCAATCACATCTGATTTCTTCCAGAAAGGTCTGAATCTTGCCCAGTTGTTATATTTTATGATCATAAGCATAGATATCACATCAATTTCAATATTGTTCAATGGGCAAGACAAGAAATGATTATTTTACTTATTCACTTGCTCATACATGCAATGTTCTACAGCCCATGGACATCTATAGGTTGTTTCAGGCCTTTGAAAAACATTTCAATAGGTGCGGACATAAATTTTGAGAGACCTGTCTTGTCAGGGTCTTTCAAATAGAAATTATATTTGAAAGACCCTGGTCCTGTGGAAGGTCAATCACTAAATTACATAATGACATATGTAAGCTTGAATTCAGTGCCTATTTAAATATAAAGTACTGTTATCCAAGATTTTGCAGTCTATTTTCAGAAAGCCTTTGAAAACCAGTCTAACTTCTCCCTTTCACTGATTAACAGCAAGAGAAATCTCATCAGAAGATGCAGCCAGCCAGAACCAGGATTTAAACCTTCTTTCCTGTCTGAAAATGAGCCACTCATTGAGTCTGACACTGCTCCTGTTATATCTGAAACTGTCTCTCCTGCTTCTTTTTTTTCTTGTACAAAGAAACCTCACTGACATGTAAAAAGCCACATACTAATGAAAGAAAATATTTTAGCACAATTGTGAGTGGTAGGGCAATAAAACGGATGTTATCTTTGTTGTTTTGGTCTACCTGTAATCATTGTAAAGCATGTTTGAATTTAGTCTTCTCAAAAAACTGAAATCCTGCTTAACTGAAATAATTGTCATCTTTTATTTATTTACTTTTGTGCTTGAAATGTTTCGTGCTGTTTACAAAATTGCTGTACATCATTCTCGCAGTGAAAAGGAAGTGTACTTTCGTTTTAGTAAGATTAAATATAGAAACCAATCAAATGCGTCGTTTCTCTGTACTCTCATATCCGCCATATTGGAAATCTATGCTTGTCATATTTTGATTATTTTTGTGTTAACGATAGTTTTTAGTTAATGAAAAACGTTGTAAAAGATGAAGAAATGAATAAATTTTTCACTGCTTAGGTAATTTGTTAGTTGTCACCTTATTTTGTTACGGTAAATGGTGATAATTTCTTAGGTGCGTCGGAACTACGTACACCAGGATATGTCTGGGGGTGAAGTGTCTTGCTACGATTAGTATCACCTTCAGCAGCTATATCCTGGCTAAAAGCCTGATCCAGGAGTATGCTCAGTATGTGTTTTTATAACATTTGTAAGAATTCTTGACTCAATGATTCAGCTTCACATCATCAAGCACATGTTGTTTTGTTTCTAATATTTGAAGTGATGAACATAAAATCAAATGTGGTAGAATCTAGCAAGAATTTAACAATGGTTGGAAGGGAGTAAAGACTTATCATACATTAGTGATTATTTTTGGATTTTCTAAGCACCCTGGGCGGCAGATTGGGCGATAACTTGCGGTGATTTATTTATTCAAATTTACTATCCGTAAAAGATTTATCCGAAAATTATACCAAAACACGTTAAAAAGATATAAGTGAGAAAACTACGCAAAATTTCCACTTGTCAATTTAACTGATAGCAAACCCTCATAGATCTTACTCACATAAATTAATTTTTCAAAAATTTCAAGCATCTGTGTTTACCTTATTCAAATTTCCAAAATGTTAAATTTGCGTTCAGCTGTGAACGTGTATTCTGATATTCGTGACAATCACTTCGTGACAGGCAGTTCTAAGCTGCTGACGAATTAGCTGGCCACAGACATTGGACAAAATACACTCAGAGAGAGACTTTTATTGCAGATATTATATAAATATTACATGACACGTGTCATTGTTTTGTGCATGAGAGATATTTTATAGCCAAGTTCCCGAGATGTTTGCATCGTAAATGCATAAATATCATGTCGGGTTTCAATTGGAACTGTAATTTTAATACACATGATAATCACAGGTGCTCGTCCATATTAAAAAAATGAAATAAATAAAAAAAAAACTATTCTGGGTTGAGTCACGGATTAATATTACAATGTAAATCCGTGGTTGAGTAAAAGAAAAAAAAAATGAAAAAAATCCCCCCCTATATATCATTACTACGAATTACTACCATTCTAGTAATAGTATATATAGAGGGAAAAAAAACAATTTCTTTTCTTGCACTCAACCCAGATTAAATGTAGATCTACTTGTTTTTTTTCCATTTCATTTTTTTATATATATATATATATACCAAGACTGGACGAGCACCTGTTATGATAATTACAATATAACAGCTTTAATTAATGTTGACTTTTTCTCAAAAATTTCTTTATTATTTAATAGATTTTTTCCCTATTTTAAAGACACCTTAATTGTGAATTTGTTACAATCATTTCTAGTTTAGGCAGATCAGTGTCTTTCAAATAGATTAAAAGACGTACCAGTCCTACGCATAAACCCTTCCAGCCTGCTGAATCTCAGTAAGGGCTTATCAGCTAGTAAATCACTATTAACGGTATATCTCCCATTAACACGTCCACTGAGTTGAGAGTCTTGTCATCATTAATTGGTCCTCTGTGTTCTTATCTAATGGCCCTAAACGTTGAAGGATCAAATTTCTGAAGATACACTCACTTTTTATCGATGTTTTGTTCTCTGGGTCTGCGGCCCAAAGTGAATTGTGAACTTTAGCAATTATTGAATTATTTGTAAATATACTTAATATCACTAATAAATTTTAGCTACTAAATGAATTATATGTTGGGATATACCTTTTTAAGTAATAATAATCCTCTTAATTAATAAAGTTCATTAGTTAAGTGTCACTGTTACTCATGTTACACCCCCCCCCCCCCAAAAAAAAAAAAAAAAAACCGCTAAAAAACAAAAGCAAAAAAAAAAAAACATTGTAATTTTTTACTGTAAAGTGCAAGACTCTTAACTAAGTGACCAGGTAAGTGATATTTTTATTATTAGCTCGACTACATAAAGTATATGTAGACCTATCCTACTCACCTCGGTTTTTAAGTTCGCGCCAGCGTACATACTTTAAATTAATGCCTATAGATGTGCAGTAAATATTTTATCCCTAACTTTTTTATTAGCTCATCTGAGGACAATGTCCGTGCGTCAAAAATTTATTTAAACAACTTCTACTCCTAAACCACTTAGCCAAATTTGTTAAAACTTTGCAGGAGTGTACCTTGCATAAAGCTCTACCAAAGGTGTTCAAAGAATAAAATCCCATGCAACTTTGATTGCCATAGCAACCAAAAAAAATAAACCTTTCTTTTAAACAAGAGCGATCAGTAATCACATGTGTCGCCTCATGATGGCCAATTTCATGTTGGGACAAATTTTGTGACAGACGGACAGACAGACGGACAGTGCACAACTAGATTTGGTACTGATCATTCCTGTAAAGTTTGGATAAAATTGCACCAGTAGTTTATGAGGAGTAGTCCGGACAAGCTTTTACGTATCTGGCAACACACAGAAAAAAACACTTTTTTTATCAAAGAGCCATAACTCGGCCAAAAATCATTCAACCAGAAACCCCGTGCAATATGCGCAAGGACTTAGAGCTACAGATCAATCCTGTAAAGTTTCATTGAAATTGCATTAGTGGTATAAGAGAAGTAGTCTGGACAAACTTAAAAATTATTACAGGGCTATAACTCTGACAAAAATCATTGAACCGGAAAATGCTGACAATATGCACAACTAGACTTGGTGCTGATCATTCCTGTAAAGTTTGGATGAAATTGCACCAGTAGTTAATGAGGAATAGTCCGGACAAGCTTTTGTGTTTCTGGCAACACACAGAAAAAAACACCTTTTTATCAAAGGGCCATAACTCGGCCAAAAATCATTCAACCAGAAAACCAGTGCAATATGCACAAGGACTTGAGCTACAGATCAATCCTGTAAAGTTTCATTGAAATTGCATTAGTGGTATAACAGAAGTAGTCCGGACAAACTTTCAAAATTAAAATTATTAAAGGGCCATAACTCTGACAAAAATCATTCAAACCGGAAAATGCTGACAATATGCACAACTTGACTTGGTACTGATCATTCCTGTAAAGTTTGGATGAAATTGCACCAGTAGTTTATGAGGAGTAGGCCGGACAAGTTTTGTGACGGACGGACGGACGGACAGACAGACGGACAGACAGACAGACGGACAGACAGACGACGGAGAAGTGATCCCTATATGTCGCCACTACTCCGTAGAGGCGACACAAAAATCCAAAGAGCTAGAGCTTAGATATTTGGCATGAAACATCTTATACTGAGTGTCTATCAAGTTTATTCCGATCAAAGCCCTGGGATATAATTAGGCCCGCCCCAACGGGTCATTAATTTTCATTATACATCTGTATGTACACATGTATATCTTATCATCATACACATCATGTGATAAGGTGTTAAACTAAAAAAAAAGTATTTACAGAACAATTTCCCTTTGAACATATAATTTTCCATAAAATAATGTTATTTTTTACTCTATGCTTCATTTCATCATAAGGGATTGACCTAAATTTTCAAATATGTGTACCTTACCAACAACTACATCATATGTGACAATGTTGTTCACTTAAGCACCAATATTTTTCCAGAATATTTCCCCATGAACTCATTTTTTTCCTCAAAATAATTATGTTACTTTTTACTAACTTCTTTATTTCTTAAGGTATCTACTTCTAACTTAAAAATATATGTTCCTTATACATGTGTGACAATATTCAAACTCTAGCATGAATATTTCCAGAATTATTTCCCCTTTGAACTTAGATGTTTATTATGCCCCGAAGGGTGGCATGTTAAAATCGAACCGTCCGTCCGTCTGTCAGTCCGTCCGGCTTTATACATATAGACAGTGGTGGTCTTGTCCGTTCTGAAACTTCAGTTTACATGAAAGGATTTTAATTTTATTCATATATGAAATAACCAAAAAATGCATGGTGTTGTCGCAAACAAGACTCGGGTTCCTACGAAAAGGTCAAGGTCATTGTTGGGGTTCAAACTTTGTCATTTTTTTATGTTATATAAATATAAAAGGTGGTGGTTCTGTCCGCTCTGAAACTTCTGTATTTCTCTATATAATATGCATGAAAGGATTTTATTTTTTCTTTCATATATGAAATAACCATAGATGCATGGTGTGTCGCGAACAAGGCTCGGTTTCTTACGACTAAGGTCAAGGTCACTGTGGGGGTTCAAACTTTCAATTTTGATGTTAATATACAAATAGGCAGAGATGGCCGTGTATGCTCTGAAACTAATATGCATGAAAGGATAATATGTTTTATTTCACATATGAAATTATCATAAATGTATGATGTGTTTCCCTTAAGTCATATAAATGGTGGTTGTTGTGTCCGCTCTGTAACTTCCATATACATGAAAGTTTCATTTTTTTTTTAAATATAAAGTCACCATAGATGGACAATGTGTTGTGAACAAGACCAAGGTTTCTTTCTCTAACTTAAAGGTCACTCAGCTGGGGTTCGAACTTTGTCAATTTTTACCACCACACTTAACATGTTATAGGTGGTTCATAACTAGAATTCTTTAGGGGCATTTGCCACGTTCTGTGACAGCTCTTCTGTATATATTATTTTATATATTTATATTTTTGCTCTTACTTCTTTATTTATGAAAGAATTTACTTCTAACTTTAAACAATAACATGACAAGCTACATAACTCTAGCGTCAATATTTTCAGAATCATCATCCTTTTTTACTCAGAATTTTCCGCATTAAATTTGAACTTAAAAATATGTTTCTGAACACTTATATCAGGTGCGAATAGATTCATAACTCCTGTATTTTTAGTATTATCTCCATTAAATTTTGAACATGGGATTTAGTGAAAATTCATATATTTCTGAGTATTATCTTTGTCCTGAGTCCTGGCTCCTCTGGCAGCTATTGTGACTTTTGGTGTCCAGTTATGGTTTCCTAACAATAATTTAAAGGTCATCAAATTTTTACTATTATCTGCTCTTTTGCAATTGGTAAAGTTAAAGTGATTTAGTATTTTGTATGGAAGTCAAAATACTACTTTGGTTACATTTTGCTACCTTTTTTACAATTTTTTTTCACTTCAGAGCTACTTTTCAATCAAATTGAATGATAAGCACCAATAATGCTTTAAACCCATTATTTTTATTATTATTACTAAACATTATTTTTGCTCCTTAAGAAAAAAATAAAAATAATATTAATGTCTGAGGCATGATATGCATTTACCATGAAAGTAATTATACATTAGTGCACAGGAACTCGGCACAGTGTTGGGATAGTGTAAAAAGAAATTTTAGAAATAAAAAACCTATTCAATATTTTTGTTTCTAAAATAAATTTTTTACTATATCCCAACACTGTACCGAGTCCCTGTGGTTGTGAGTTGTAAGTGATTAAAATTCTTTTTAATGTAATCCAGTCTTTTTAGTCTTTAACTTATTTCAAATTGAATGTATCTATGAAAATTAGTTTTCCTTATCTATATCCTCCAGCTAAAACAATACATTCTTGAAACATGATAGGATCATAAAACATTCTAGGGTGCTGCTATCAGTGATACTGTGACAAGCCATGTAATTATAATTAAATGCTCATCACTGGCCAGAGATATGAAATTTTGGGGGAAAACTGGAAATCTTGGGTTTATGCGTAGGACTGGTACCCTGGGCAGATGTAGTTAGATTTTCTGTTCGTTAATCTAATATTTGTATTTCATAGCGGTTTAAATCTGCATCAATAGATAGAGGATGTTCAAGTTTCTTTCCATAAATACATGATTTAT